AAAACAGAAACAGCGGCAAAAGCAATCAATACACCTAGAAGAACGAGGGCGTCAGACGGCGCACGTGAGAAAAGAGGTGGCTAACAAAGCACGTCACTTGTACGGACCAATAGGAGGGAAACGCATGTCTAAAACGGTTGGGTTGAAGTGCATGACAGCTCATGCGCGTGAGAAGATCCTTAAAAATCTTGATTTTTTAGGGAAAGCATGTCGGCCAGAAATGAATGATCTCGGCTATCAAACTTTAAACCAATTTACTGGAAGAAAATACAGATATAGGTTCCATCACCTCAGAATACTGAGGTAATAAAACCTAAGGGGCAGTTGTGGGGATGTATTTTCTGAATACCAACACGTGGCAAGGTGACGCCGACGTGTCAGCCGAGGTGCCACGTGTCCAGGTTATGACGCCGAGGTTATCTCGGCAAGGCCGAGATTGTCTCCGAAGATATCGGAATCCGAGATAAATGGATAAAAGATAAGGGACAAGAGTCCTAGAGAAAAGAGAAGACTTAGCCAAGATAAAGATAAAACTCTTCGGAAGTTTATCTTTATCTCTTGAGAAATCCAAAGTAAGCAATGAATGGGAGTCCATAGAAGTCAGGCTTCTAGTGGGATCAGGATTGAGTTGGCTATAAAAGAGAGGTACCCCCGTGGGTCTAAGGTACGCAATTTTATGCTTTTGATACTCAAGCTTGTGAGTTTATTATTTGATTTATCTTTGAGAGATATACTGACTTAATCGTCGGAGTGCCCCCGGGTGGAAGAGCCACCGCCGGAGCCTTTTTTTTCTGTTACAGGTGAGCTGAAGCCATCTATTCTGCCAGTGCTCTCCAGCTGATTACTAGGCGGGCAGTGTGGTCAGAAAATTACCCACACATCATGTATATATACATGTGTGTTTTGTGTATATGATGAAGAAAAAATATATATTTTTTTGATTCTTCCAATAATAAAATTTTAATTTCGTCCCTGTATACAAGTGAATGCTTTGTTATCACTGCAACCAAGGAGTACTTTTAGATGAATGTCTCCATGATTTGCATGCTTTGCTTTATTTTGTTGGAAGAAATTAACCAATCTTGACCTACTCGGTCTAAATTTTGTCTGAACTGGATTTGCTGATGAAGCCATTTGGGTATAAAATTTTATTGCTTTTGCCAAGGAAAGAAAATGACAGGCTTTCCACACCTTTGTTTCAGCAATGGTGCCATTTCTTAAGGTTCTCTCTTTTGAAAATCTCTCTATTGTGCTAGTACTTTCTCTTTTTAAGATCTCCTTCCATGCATTGTACAAATGCATATAAGATGCCAAATGGAATCAAATTTGTGCAAAAAAATAAATTTAAAAGTTGTTATAGTGGGCTTCCATAAAAAAAAAATGACTATGGTGGACTGGGCTGGTTGAATTTGGATTTATGGACCAGTTTCACTTTGTTGATTTGATTTGTTATTTTTTTTGATCCCAATGTAACAATCAAACAAAAAAAATTATGGACAAATTATAAATACACTTTCTGAAATTTACTTAAAATATAAATTATCTCTTGTAATTTAAAAAATTACAAATACTCTCTTGTTAGAATTTTTTATTTAACAAAATTAACTAAAAAAATAAAATTTATAATTGCTCTCCTAACAATAATAAAATTACTTAAATTATTAATTGAAACATATTTCTAACATCATTAAAAATTATTAATTAACTTCATGATTTACAAATAAAAATGGCGATTTGCCATGAAATTATAAACCTTAAGGGTGGAATGTAATTTTTAAAATTACAGAAAATAAATCGTATTTTAATTAAATCTCAAGAAATATGTTTATAATTATCCAAAAATTATATTAATTTAATAATTTTAGTCATATGATTTCATCACAATTATACTAATTTTTAAAAAGTAAACAACAAATATAATTTTAAAAATAATTTTTGTTTTTTTTTTTTTTGGAAGATAAATATAATTAGACAGTCTTTGGTGTCAATAGAAAACGTCATTTTGAAGAATTCCTCTGCACATCTTTGATGTCAAATGTAGGAAATTCGTTTAAAAGACATCGTTTTGGCATCTTCTCTTGGCAGACAGTAGGCATTGCTCTACGAAATTCAGATAAGATAGCTTTGGAAGTTGATGCATTTGCAAGGATGCACAAACTAAAACTTTTGCAACTCAAAAATTTACAAGTCAATGGAAGCTTTGAAAATTTTCC